CTCTGCCTCCCAAGTGCTGGGATTAAAAGCGTGTGCCACCACGCCCAGCACTTAATCATTTTTTAAAGTGGCCCTAAAGGCAGTGGGCAGTATAGGGTAGGGGTAGAGACCATCCTAAATTAAGGCCCAGCTTTCCTTAAAAGTTTAATCTTTTGTGATTTTGCATTCTACTTCATATACATATTTATTTCAATATAAAGACCCTGCTCTCTAAACAAAATGGAAACCCAGAGAATATTACCTATTTTGTAGCTCTTCCACCCTATGTAATTACACGGATTTCCCATAAGCCACTTTGCAAGAGAAAGCCATGGGGATTTAAGCCCAGGCTTATGTAAAAAAATTTCATCTTGTAGCCAGGCATGGTGGAGGCACACCTTTAATCCCAGCACTCAGGAGGCAGAAGCAGGTGAATCTCTTTGAGTTCAAGGCCACTATGTGGTCTACATAGTGAGTCCATGTCAGATGGGGCTACAGGGAAACCTTGTCTCAAAAAAAAAATTTTTTTTCATCTTGTACAAAGAGCCTTCAGGCAGTAGTGTTATGGATGGATGAGAAATGGAAAGACTAGAAACTGGAGAGGTGGCTCAGCAGTTAAAAGCACTGGCTGCTCTTGCAGAGGAACCCAGTTCAATTCCCAGTGCCCACATGGTAGTTAACAACCATCTATAACTCTAGTTCCAGGGAATCTGACTCGTTCTTCTGACCTCCACAGGCATTGCATGACACAAGTGCAGACAGCTTGAAGTTTCTTACATTGCCCAAAGCTATGATGTATTGTGTATCAAAAGAATTTGGGCTGAGGAAATAGCTCAGTCAGCGAAGTGCTTGTCTAGCGAGCATAAGGATCTGAGTTCAATCCAGAAGCCACATTTTTAAAAAGACAGATGCAGTGGCTCACACTTGTAATCCCAGTGCTGGGGAGACAGTGGCAGGTGGATCCCTGGGACTCACTGGCCAGCCTGCCTAGCCTACTTGGTAAGTTTCAACCCTGTCTCAAAGTAAAGGTGAATGGCACCTGGGGAACAACACCCAAGATGGCCCTCTAGCCTACACACACACACACACACACACACACACACACACACACACACACACAAAAAGCAAAAAATATAACACATCGAAACATATATATATAGAAGTATAACCCATTGGAAAATCCATATTTACATTTATATAAATAAATGAAGCAAGAGCCCCAAATCAAGCAGTTAGTACTGTATACCTGGCTGGATTTCAGAGTCATTATGAACTAGTAACTGCACTGTGCACCTTCAGTTTTCCTCCTTTCTGAAATGAGAATGTCTATAACAATGATCCCATGCTTGAACCATTACTGTATGTTGGATAAGTAAGAGGCAGATGATGAGGTTCTTGACTTCATAGCTTTTCCTATTAACAGACAACTCAGGAGTTGTACCCAAAGCACTATACCCAAAGAACCATATTCACATTGGACCTGATTTACATTGGGCTGATGTTGTCACAGAATGAGACTTAGGGGTCCTGGAGGGGTCCTGGAGATGAATGTATTTTACATTGAGTGGAATGTGAACTGTGATCAATGTGTGGCAAGTTATATTTCCCAAATTATTGACTTCAATACTAGTTTCCACTCACATACACTTTTTAGACTGAGGAGATGGCTCAGTTGGTAAAGTACCTACCATACAAGCATGAGGACCTGAGTTGGTCATGTAAAACTTGTGCATGGTAGCATGTGTCTGTAACCACAGTGCTGGGATGGTAGAGACAGGTGGATCTCTGAAGCTCATCATCCAATTAGCTTAGCCAATCAGTGAACCTCAGGATCAGTAAGAGATCTTCTCTAAAAAATAAGGTAGAGGCTGGGCATGTGACACATATTTTTAATTCCAGAACTCAGGAGACAAAGGCAGGTGGATCTCCGTAAGTTTGAGTCCATCCTGATCTAGTGAATTCTAGGCCAGCCAGGACAACATAGTGAGACCCTGTCTCAAAAAATGATAATAATAATAATAATAAGGTAGAGAGAAATTGAAAGAGTCAACTGATATTGACCTCTGGCCTCTGCACATATGTGCACACATGTGCATATACTCACATAAACATACATATATAACACATACAAACAAATCCATACTTTTATTTTGTGACTTTGACCTTTCTTCCACTGAGACATGGGATCTATGTTCTCTCCCCTTGACATTAAGCAGGCCATCGTGCTTTTTTTTTCAACTGATCAGACATGGCTCAAGCATAAGATTTTGAAGCTAGGTTATAAAAAGGGAAATGGCTCTTCTCTTCATTAAAACATCTTCCACTGAAACCTCAGCTACCATTTGAATAGTCTAATTGCCCTGAAGCCACCACATGGTAGGAGAAGCATAACTACCTCTGAGATAACATGAAGATGGGGGCTGTCCAGCAAGCCCCAGCCACCATTGACTAAAAACACCAGAACCATCCAAATGAACTCTCCCTAATCTCATAGAAATTGAGATAATGAAAAGGTTGTTTATACCACTAAGTTGGAGTGATTTGTTTTTTTAAAAATAGATAAAGGGGAGGGGGGGAGTTATAGAGATGGCTCAACGATTAAGAGCATGGGCTGCTCTTGCAGAGGACAGGTTTAGTTCCCAGTACCCATAAGGCAGCTCACAATGGTCTGTAACTCCAGTTCTAGGGAATCCTATGCCCTCTTCTGGCCTCCACAGGCATTGCATGCTCATGGTACACCTACATACATGAAGGCAAAACACTCACATGCACACACACACACACACACAAAATAAAATTAAATAAATAAAAATGGATAAAAGGTATAGCTTAAAATGTTAATATGCAGATAATCTGGGAAAGGGTGAGTAGGAGTTCTTTGTAGAATGATCCTCTTCTTCACTTGTGGTGAGAGATAAGTCTACAAGAATTACAATTTTTCTTCTCAGGATTACTCAGGGGTTGTCTATACTACTCAAGTCTACACCTGCAAACACTGAGCTGAGCTGGAACTTCACAAAGGGGAGTAAAATATGCTGAATCTGAAATTCCTTCTCTGTTTTTATAGCACCTTGTAGGTGCAGTTAGAAACCACTTCAGTTTTCCAATTCTGTGGTTAGGAACAAGTGTAACCTAATTTCTACTCTGCTGACAAATGGTTTGTCTTGGGAATTATTTGCCAGTCAGAATCCTTTCCTGAGAATTATTTTAGATAGAAGGAGACAGCCTGGATTCATGTGCCTTTTCCCTATGAAAATGGACCCATCTGGGGTGCTCTGACACCTGTCCTGGAGCAGTCCTGAGGTAGAATTCATGGAAGCTAAACAGAGAAATTTGGAGGAGAAAATCAGGCTATGACAACTGACTTTTGAGTCACTCAAAGAGAATGTACCATCTCAGGCATGTCAACAAGCCTAGCAGAATCCAGATATGTTTGCCAAAGAGAGATAATCAGAGCAAGGTGTGCAGAGCATGCATTTATATAGAGAGTGAAGGAGTCAAAGACGAGGAGGTCTGCAGCCAATGAGGAAATACATCTCAGTGGAAATATTTGTGAGAGTGTAGAAGAGAGGATAGAAAAAAGGAATATTCAGGAAACAGAAAATACCAGAGTCTTGGTTAATAGATGACTAGAGCTTTGGCATTAGGATCAAGAGCTAAGGGAGTGGAAGAGCTAGAATAGCACAAAATATGTGTATAGACAATTAAGAGTGAACTGAGAGTCCCAGGCAGTTAGGTCAAAGAAAGTGAGGAAGAATGAAAACCTTTGTCTTCATTTGACTCAATTACATAAACATTTAGTGGGACTCTTACTATGTGTCACATTCTGTGCTAGATGCTGAGGCTGATGAATAAGACACTTCCTCTCCTCCAGCGACACATAGTCTGACTGGGGACACAGCTGTGTAAACAAAGGATACTACTATAAAATGTGTATAACAAAGGAGGTATGTACAAGGTGGGTTTAGAGGTGACAAAACATCCATGAGAGTCTGGGCTGAAGAAGGGAGAGCCCAAAGCCACCTGCACAAAGAGAACCAAGATGATGAAATCACAATGCGGTTAGGCATAATGAAAGCCTGGAGAGGGCCAAGGACCCCAGGCATGGGGAGAAAGAGAAGGTATCCAGAGCTTAGGCGATCCATCAAAGTAGACTTGGAACAGGGAATTCAGGACATGAATGGGCATGTTAAAGAAGGAGCTAGTTATGAAAAATAGAATCTACACCAGTTAGTGTTCCAGAGGAAGAAACAAGAGCTGTCTACAAATGTATTGGGAGAGGGGCAACTCGGATGGTAAAAAATCAAGTGCTAGTTGGTCATATATAGTGAGTTCAAGGCCTGTCAGGTTACAGATAGGAGACCCCATCTTTTGTTTTTGTTTTATTGTTGTTATTGAGACAGGTTATCACTCTGTAACCCAGGCTGGCCTCGAACTCACAGCAATCTTCCTGCCCCCACTTCCCAAGTTTTAGAATTACAGGAGTTAGTCATGACACCAGGCTGGGAGACCTTGTCTCAACAATGACAAACAAAACTGTCAAAGTTATAGGTGTAAAAAGACGATTTTGTTAGCTCAATTCAGGGGTAAAGGTCTAGGAGGCTAAAAGGAATGCTACATCTAGGTAGAGAAAACTACATGCACGTGAAGAATAGAATAGCACTGCGTTTGGAAACCATAGCGCAGGAAAGGCGACCAAACAGCTTGAGCTGTCCCGCGTCACCGTGTTTGCCATTGCTGAAGCCATAAGAAAGAAGACCCCGTCATCCGGTACTACTGACTCTGATGTAAAGGCTTGTTCCTTCTGTGACTGCACTGGGTGGAGGAATTGTTACTCTGTTGCTAAGGAAAAAGGAAGAGGCTGTTCCCTGTTGCCATGGTGACAAGGTAAGAGCGTTCACCCGGTACCGCCGGAGTTTATGAGGCGGGTTTGTTGCTATGGGTGATTTAGAGGGCTTGTTCTCCTCTCCCGCACCTCCAGCCCCAGTTGCTAAGGCGAAGTGGAGGTAGGGGTTGTCCTCTTGCCACACGGTTGCCTTGGAGACGGCGGGTGCCCTGGCCCCGCCCCACTCGGACTGACAGCGGTGGCCGCATCGCGCTTGCGCAGAGCTTTCGTCCCCCGCAGTCTCTGTGCGTTGACGCCGGAGACCGCGGCGGCCTCTGCTAGGACCCTCCGTCCCGGAGCCTCCGGCCGGAGCCGCAGCCTCTGCCGCAGCTCCCCCGCCGCCCGTCCCTCCCTACCACCTCCGCCGGAGCGGCCTCGCACACTGTGAGTTGGAGCCGAGGCCACTGACGCCGTGGGGCTGAGTCAGCGGGAGGCCGGGCTGGGGGAGGGGAACCAGGCTCCCCATCCCCACCGGCCCCCACCCCGCCGCTCCGCGTCCCCTTCCGCCGGCCTCCCGCCCGGATCTAGCGGGGCTCCCCGTGGCCTGGGGGCCAGGCCTGCCAGCCACTCCTCCCCTCCTGCCCCGTTCCCTCCCTCCGGCCCTCCGGACCCTCCTCGGAGGTCCATCCACTCTAGACGTGGCGCTGTCGCACTTGAGCCCCGAGCCCCGTATTTTCCCCAAACTCCCTCCTGCCTGTCCTCGTCCCTTGTCCCTTCTCTTCACTCCTGGGCCTGACATCTCCTGACCGCCCGTTTTCCCCAGTGATTTGCCGGAGAGTGACAAGGGAGAGCGCCAGTGGAGGCCAGGGGGAGGGGGACGCTGTATTGGTCCAAATCTTGGGATCACAGGATTCTTAGCCACATGCTTCAGACCTGGCTGCTTTAAGGAAAGCAGGTCTGGACAGTTCTAAGTATCTGCTGAGAGCTGGCGGGGCTTTCGGAATAGGTTTGCTGAGGGAGGGGGGTAGGGGTGTCAAACCACGTTGTGATCAGCTACTGTTGAGTGCACAGGGCTCGTGCATGGTGGCCGTCTAGTGGGCCAAGCCAGTGCCGTGGCCTCACTGTGCAGGGAGGGGGACAGGTTGCACTGGGGAGCTTAAGTTCCTGTGTTTCTGGTGCATTCTTGTGAATAAGCATCCTGTCAGACTCTTTGAAATACCTTAAAAAAAAACAACACACATTACAACGTTGGTATATGTTGAGTTTTGAAAACAGACCTGTATAATATCTACAGCAAGTGCTTACAGTTTGTATCATAAGGGGTATTGGTGGGACTTGATTTCTGATACCTGTAAATTCTCTCAAGTAATAAACCAGGTAATGGTTTTGATCACATGCAAGGAGTGGAGAGGAGAGGAAGTTGAGGTTTCCTTGTGGTGTAGTTCTGAGGCCTGTATGTTTGCTTCCTTCAGCTCTTAGTCTTGGGGGGGGGCTATCCTCTAGTAGGGATTCCCCAGGTTGTGTTAACCCACCCACTCACTTGCCCATCTTGGAGTACCCAATGTTGAAATAAAGTACCAAACAACATTCTTTTTCCAGCAAGAAACTCAGCTGAAGTCAGTTTGTACTCACAGCCAGAAAGTTCTTAATAGACATGTCTTAACTTGAGAGCTTCTAACTACTGTGTGTACCTCATTGCCAGCTTCCTCTGCTTCCCCCCTTTCCTCCCAGATTTCAATTGACTGTTTGAAAATACATGGAAATATAAGTTCTACCCAACAAAAGGCTTTGGATTTTTTTTTTTCTTCT